TCTGACGTTAAAGTTAGTGTAGCGGAAGTATGTGAGGTGAGTATTGCAGTCATTGCGAGCTTTTCTAGCTATCCTTTCGTATAAGTGTAGATATTCGCTGCTAAAAGTCGTTTTTTACATCCTTATTAGCCTAAGTCCTCATTTTATTGGCCCAAGTCCTCAATTCTGTAAGCCTGATCAGTTCTATAANGGGGACTTTCTAAATGCCTGCTGCTCAAGGATAACTTTTTTTTCGAAGGGTTTTTTCTTTCTTTTTAATTGTTATTGCTAAGAATCCTCACTTTTGAAGGAATTGAGCTTTTCCCATAGTAAATGTGGGTGTTTTATGAATGTCGGCATTATTGTGGGTGAGTAAGACGAAGGGCGCCCCTGTGCACACAACCACCACAACACCAACCGTCTGATAAGGGCAGTATTATCGACACCCGTGGGAATACTGGCGCCTTAGTTCGATTCGATTTTACGTTTTTGGTAGTCAGTCGTATTCAGTTTTCCATTCATTTCCATGCTCCTCGTTATTCGATTATCTATCGATGGCGATTAATAAAATTAATTTAATTATTATCGATTTCAGATCGCTTCCTACTAACATACTGTACTTACGTGGATGGTTTAACCTATACTCAATACTCGATTCGATTCTCTCATGAAGGTCGTTCCAATTTCTGACGTTAAAGTTAGTGTAGCGGAAGTATGTGAGGTAAGTATTGCCGTAATTTCGAGCTTGATTAGCAGTTCTTTCGTATACATGTAGGTATTCGCTGCTGAAAGTCGTTTTTTACATCTTATTAACCTAAGTCCTCATTTTATTTGTCCAAGTCCTCAATTCTGTAAGCCTGATCAGTTCTATAAGCCAAATCCGCCAGTCCTGCCTATCTAAAGGTTCCGTCACCAGCACTAGTCACTCAAGCTGGAACTGAAGGCCAAATAGGATAGTAGAACTAAAGAGATGTGTATCTGTTGGCAATACAAGAATCTGGTGGTCTCAGAGTTTTATCAAGAGCCTCTTAATTCCGTTCTAGCTCGAGCAATCTCTACTTGATCGCTTTTGGCGTGAAACCCAGTTTTTCCAACTTTTTATAGACTTTTATGACTGTACAATGATCGGAATTCTTACTGATTAATGTTAAGGTACGCGGATCTGGCTTGGAAGCTCATGAACTTCTTTCACTAGCTGCAGCTGCAGCAGAAGTTCTACCACCTTGTCCCCGTGGAACAGTTTTCGATATCGAAAACGTCTTCATTTCCAGTAAAGGAAATGTGGAAGTGAGTTTATTCCGTTATTTCTTGTAGATTTAAATCAAGCTAACCTTTTCCCATGGCCAGACTTTCGTCCTACCATTGAAACCAGAATAGGTGGAACTTAGAGTAGTCTCGATAGGGAGTGTTTCTATGATAAGCAAATAAAAGCCCACCATCCTTTTTCGAACTGATCTCACTCTTTTCACTGCAAAATTTTTTCGGTACCGTTCAACTAAAGCAGTGGTTTGAGGAGTCATCACAATGAAGGAATCCTTAGATCGGGTCCCTTCCAGTGTACTAAAACATTTTTCTGTTTCAATCTAACGGAGTATGAGTTTTTTTGAGCTTCCTACTCCTTCACCCTATATTCCACTCCTTTTCCTAAACTACAAATGAGATCTTTCAGATCAAAACAGTACCGCAGTCGTCCGTCGACCCGTGTTTCGTTCCACCAGAATGGTCGAAAAACGAGGATGACCCCGGTGCAGCAGCCGTCTATTGTATGGGAGCCGGTTCGTGAAATTTTTCCGCTTTTTTTGCTCCACTCTGCAGAATAGCGTCCTGAAGAATACCATAGTTGTATTATGCGCATCAACGAAGCATTAAAGATTTGCTCAGGGGATTTTTTGAGGTAGCCGGGTTGTAGAGCTCATCATGAGCAGTCCTTTGTAGAATTCACGATTTTGAATGTTAGGATTCGAAAGTTGGAACAGCTTTGAAAATGGAGAGGGAGCAGTGCTTTGGTGTTCTAACAAGTATTCGAGAAGGGCAGATCTCATTTGATCATCTAGACTTGTACAGTTTACCAGAAGTAATGCTTTTAAGGCCCACACCAGTCGAATGGTATTCATTCAATGTGCGATAGGGTTTGTTTGTCTGTGAGATCTAGAAATAGGGCAGCTTCCTCAATATATAGCTTAGCAATGCGAGGAGGTACTTAATTACCTTTCCACTCCATTAGACAGCTGTAGTATAAGTACTAGCGACAGGTGGTTCTAAATGGGACTCTTCGGTAACCGGATATTTTAACTTCTCAGCCAGCGTGATTTGAAGAATCCAGCCACCAGCAATTTTATCTTGGAACCATGGTCTTTATCAGAACGTTTTATACTAAAAGAGCTTTGTGCTTTGCTGAAAGTCAAGAATAGTATTAAGTTCCCCTACGTTGACTTTCCTAGCTAAAATTTTTCCACGTACATATTTCCTAGACCATCAGTCAGTGTATCTTTTTTAGTTCTGAGAGCGGCCGGAGCTGAACATGCCGCCGATGTGGATTTATTCTCATTAGTGAACATCCTTACGGTTGGTATGGTTGGAACGAGGCCGACGGCTCATCGAATGGGTCTCATGGCAAAGTGGGTTTCCTTTATTTCTCTGATTTTCCCAATGTAGTTGTAAGGTTCAGTTGTAAGATCCTGATCAGGAGCTTCAAACTTGCACTCCGTAGTTGAACCTTTGGTGGTTCATCTTTCAGTCGCTCATATCAGGGGCAACCCTGTTTTGAAGAAGAGGCAGAAAGGGTAGCGTCCTGAGATAAACCAGTAGAAGCCTGGACGTTTTTGTGTGGTATAGAAGTAATGCTCACGTTTTAAGGAATCAACTTCGTGGGCGTGATGCAAAGGTGTGTCTGATCACGATTTACGAAGAAATCATGGGTGATGAAGAATCCAATCAGGTCTGTCATGAACACAATTTGTTTATGTTTTATAAGGTTACGTGTTTACTGGAGGCTACAATTTTCAAAGCAGGGAAAAATAGATAAAGTACTGAACCAGTTGTTTAACAACGCGTCCCCACAAGAAGGATCGTAGTGTACTAATGGATTAGACACTAAAAAAGCACTAGTGGGATGGGGTGGATGGGAATGGAACACTTTTATAATGAATTGGTAAAGAGTGTAGAAAGGGCGAAGGTAGAGTGGAAACAAGAGAGTAGAGCACTTCTTACGATGCCCTCTCCTCCGCCTTCTCGCTTCCTCCCTTCCCCTGACCTATTGGGCAAAGACCGTTTTGTCATGCGATACTTGCTGTAAGGAGCTGGTCTGTCGCTATTGCAGGGTAAATTTGCATGGCGTTGTATACACAAACATCCAAATAAGCCAAGAATTTTCGAATAAAGTCTGAGCCCATGGCATATCCTAAAAAAGACTGCTCGACCCAAAAGTCTTGACTTTTCCTACAAATTGAACCTTCTTTATGCTTACTCGATTTCTAGTTAGACGATGGCGATTTCTCGATGGATGAGGATGAAGATATTGAAGCGTTGCTGGGTAATACGCCACATCGTCAATTGTCGAATGGAGTTTTGCCGACGGTGACCGTAACGAGTTCATCCCAGCCGTCGGTGAAAAAAGCTGTTGATTACTTCGACGAAGACGATGAGATGGAATCTCGAGGTAGTTCTCTTGATTGTTCCATCAAACTCTGAACTTCATGGGATGTAGGCGAAGTTCGATCGTTCCAGGGCATTCTGCTTCGACGTCTTCCGGTCTCAGCACTCATAAGGACTCGTCACCATTCTTTGTCGATCATGAGTCAGATTCAAAGAAAGGTTCGTCACCTTCAAGCCCCATCACGATAACTTTCGATTATATTCATGCTCTAGCCGAGTGCAAAGAGGCGCCAGCTGATCAATATGTTTCAAGTTTCATTTCCTTTCTCGAACCATTAATTATGGCAAGTTAATGGAGAAGCCGGGAAGGGATCGAAAATTCGATTTTGCGCTAAAAAGAGATCCTGTCGTACGATCAGCTAATTGAATCGGAAAATCCCTATTAAGTCTAAGCAAGTCTTTCGTTTTGTCAGATTGGAATTGATTCGTCGCTGCAGGCTGGGCTTTAGAAGAAGCGGGGAAGAGAGAAAGATCATCTGAGTTGGACAGAGAAGGGCATCGACAGTTATACGAGTTCTAATACTTCTGCAATTCTTGTGAGAGTTCCATGCGTGGCGCATCCCAAACATCAGCAATCCTTACCATTATTTATTGCTTCTTCTAATGAATACTTAGTAGTCAGTCCTTTGTGGGGAGTAAAAGCGATTCGAAGAAACTCGGTTCTGATCCTTCGTGTCTGATTTCAGATGAACCTCGAACTTCAACACCTCCTTCGGCTGTTCCTCATGAATCATTGGGCAATTTGGGTAGTCCGATTGTCAGCGATTCTCATATAAATGAGACCTACATCGAAGAACACACGATAGATCTCGACGTGTCGTTTGATAAGTGAGTTCAGCCTATCGTGCGGTATGAGTTCTTATCATACTTTTTATTGATCATTAATCGTGATAAAGTAGTGTCCTTGAATTTTTGTTTATTACAGACCATCCGATATGAACATCGGTAACTCGATGAAGGTTCTACAAGATAAACGATCGAATGGAGGGGTGACGAAAACGATTACGCAACTTGATGATAATGAGGACGAACCCACGACGGGTTCGGTACCTCATCGAGATTCAGTGGAGAAAAAGGTGAGGCAGTTTTTGGATGACAGACCGCCCAAGCGGCTTGTTCCTATCAAATACTTGAGAAAATACTTGTCGTAAGAACGATCAAAAATTCAGTTCTGTTGGAAGGAGATGTAGAAAAAACATCTTGTGATCCACCGATGTAGGAAAGTCAAGAAAAATTGCTGAGCTTTCGCGAAATAGACCCTGATCTTGATGGGGAAAACTTCGGGCGGAACCAGCTTACCTGGTTTCGCCCGAAGCTGGTCACGTCACAGCATGCTAGCATAGACATAATCAAGCACCATGATATATGAGAGAGTCCAGACAACAATACAAATTGCTGACTCATCTGCCTTGACAAATTCGTTGAAGAAAAGGCAGGCAGTGAATGGAAAGGGCTAGACAACTTTCAATTAAGAGCGCCGCACGGTGTATCCTAAACCGTCCAGTTCTCTCTGCCTTCCTTTCCCCCAACCGCTTTTTCGCTCATCGCCCTGGTCGTTTTGAAAAAAAAAGGTGTAAGTGAAGCTTCCTTCAAATTATGGGGCTGCTCAACTACATTTGGATTCCTAAGCTAGGCGTCCAAACTTGTTGGCAAGGCCATGACAAAGGCTGGAAAAGGTCGAGTCCGCAGGTATCGCTACAGTCCAGCGCGACAGGACCTGAGGATTCGATCCTACTTAGCGCTTATGAAAATAGTGCGGCGAGTCGTTCTCGCTCATTTCTTCTGTACTCTTTTGAATACATACTTGGTTCTTTATATTCATTAGTTCCTTTCTCAACTCTTCATCATCCAATTTTTTCGTTTATCCAGCCCATGTCTGAAAAGAGAGAGAAAATACGCAAGCAGCTGCCTAATATGGATTCCATTCTGGGCACCTCTACAGAGTCGGATGTTGATCATCGCAAGCCGAAACCTCAACCGAAGCATGCTCCGTTACTTCACAAGTGAGTCTCTTTCTGAAGGACCTCTCCTGGTGCTGTGTACGTTCAACTTCGTCCGAGAACTTATTTGTATAGGTTTTCATCATCTGATGAAGAAATCGTACAAGCTCGTTTCGATGACGAGGATGAACCACCTGTTCCTCCCAGAAGGAGAAGCTATTTCGATGAGATAGGTGAGTGATACCATCAAATCCGGCAGTCTTATATCTAAACTATTCTGTGACTGCATAAGACCCTTATGGACCTCTTTTAGTGGCTGAAAGGAATGATAAACTGTCTCCGTCTGAATTGGATAGCGACTGGAAGCGACCGAATCAGGTTGATAACAGTGAAACCATTCACAGCACGATGAGCTCACCACCTGGCACATCACAAGCGGAAGGTATAAAC